ATGTGAAGTGTAAATATCTCTCTATATAGGATATGTTCTTTATCTCTTTCCAATTTTTTTGACATAGACTTGCACAATAATGTTTTTAAAACAAAAGTGTGTAAATTAATTTCGGTAAACAGTGCATTTGAAGTTTAACAACTTTCTATGGAAATGGTGTTTTGTAAATTTCCCTATTATGAATCTTCATGTTACAACCTGTAAAAGGCATATGCCTCTTAAGATTGGTTCTCGATTCCTCTGCATCACATCGAAATGAAAAAAGTGGTGAGAAAAATATTTGTCTGTTTATAATATTTCATAAAGCTATGACTGAGCTGCAAACTTTCAAGGATGTGGTCTCTCAGTAATTGTCAGTAATTGGAACAATATTCGCTCTCTGAACACTTTTATTCCTTATCATTACCAACTTCAATTTATAATATCTCTCTCTCTCTCTCTCTCTCTCTCTCTCTCTTTATGAATAGTCGGTGAAAGAAAGCTGCAAAGGAAATTATGTTCATGCAGATCCAAACAATGTTCTATGTCAGAGAAATCTTGAAAGGGTAGCAGAGGTGAGCATGGTTAAGTGCTTAACTTCACTCGCTATAGTACATATCTCTATGGTTTCCTATGTTCTAAGAACAATCTGTGGTTTTTGATGTGTAGTGTCTCGATAAAATACGTACTTCAAGCATCTTAGAACCATGGTGTTCATTGATATCAAAGAAACAGGATTTGCTTTCATGGGATTCTAGTTTTGAAGAGGAAACCAAAAATCTCTTACGATTAATGAATCCTTTTAAAAGATCATGGTGTCGAGTAATATTCTTTTTCTTTCACCAGCCCTTTCCTTCGTAGACATTTTTGTACCAGTTTGATGTAGTCAGTGTTTTTACCACAGTGCAGCCTGATAATTACGTGTACTTGTACATTTGGGCTAATGACATATTTGTACAAAAAGCTCTTCATGTTTCTGAGGTATGCCAATCAATGGGTATGAAATACATTTTCAAAGTTCTCTTTTCTTTATGAGATCATAATGGTGGGATAACCAACAGGGAACAATAAAGGAGTGGGTGAGATGTAACATGAGCATGCATTATAATTTCGAGAAGCGGCATGGATGTTATGTGTTCAATGTCCAAAGTACTGTGGAATACCACCGGAATTTCACCCATAAGCACTGTCGAGCTTTAATTTACAGGTGATATCCACCATTTTTATCTTAACCTATTTTATACATAGCCCTTGTTTGATTCCCATTCTTCTAAAAATTCATTTTTTCAAAACTCATTTTCAACCACATATTCTTCAATAAAATAATATTACCCGCAAATCTAAAACTTTTTTTTTTCATTTTTAATCACATATTTTCCATCAATCTACTTTTCAAAATGCATTATTTTTTCAAAAAATGGGGATCAAACAAGGGCATAATTATTTGAATTCACCTCATCCCCTATATATAGTGTATTGCAAAAGAATACTAGCGAACCCTTTCATTTAGTGTTCTGATATACACAAATGATACTTCACAATTTATTTTGTCTGCTTTATATATTGATTTCGCAGTGGAGATCACGACATGGTCGTTCCTCACACAAGCACTGAAAAATGGATAGATTCACTTAACTTGACTGTTCAAAGTGACTGGAAACCATGGTTTGTAGAAAGTCAAGTTGCAGGGTCAGTCCTTGAGAGTTCATCAGACATAAGCAAATTTATTTATTTATTTATTTTTTCCGTTCAATTTGAGGATTTTTTGTTTCTTCGCAGGTATACAGAGCAGTATTCGCATAATGACTATCAGTTGACTTATGCAACTGTGAAGGTGAGAAATTTTCTGCTTATATAATACTATAAATTTTACATTTTCAAGTAAAATATATTGTCTTGGAAAATTTGCCTGGAGTGCATCCGTAAATGGCATTGAATATTCACGTGCCCTGGATGCTGCTCATTTACTTTAAAAGATGTGAGAGCCTTTTTTTTTTTTTGTTTGTTGGCTCGACTTTCTTTGAATTCTGCTTGGACCTTTGTAGGGGGC